TATATATATATGTGTGTGTGTGTGTGTGTGTGTATGTATGTATAAAGCTCAAGGAAACCATGGCAAATTTGTTTTCTGGGTTTTGATGTTACATCGCAGCTGCAGCGCTCTCTATACATTAATGCCTTTGAATTTCTTCTTTTTTTTTTGCAATTACATTTACATTATGCTAAATGCATAACTTTCTTAAGCAGTAATTTTGTTTGTTTATCAATAAAAGTATATATTTAAAGAATTATATAAATATATATATATATATATGTGAATTAATTTATAATATCATTATATAAGTAATATATAACTATATAATTGTATAATATTAATAAACTCTAAGATAAATAAGACAAAATACTGATAAGATTTTAACTAATTTGATTATGCTTTCAGCTACCAATAATACTGTTATACTCTGTTAGGTCTGTTTAACACATTTTACCATATTTAAATCCATTCCAAACCTTCTGTGACAAAATTAGAGCTGAAAATGTCTGCAGGTTCCCTCTAGGCCTAATAAGTGGAGAACAAGATGTTTTTTGCTTGGGTTTTGCAGGACTTAAGGCGCTTAATGTGGCTTAATGGTACTTTATGGCCAGTTATTGCTGGGTTATACCTGTCGGGACACATATTTTCAACATTTCTGAAAGGTTTATGATGGCGCTCAGATTTCTGTTAATGGATGAGCTTGGATTGTTTTGCACTGCATTACTCCCATAAACCATACGCACAAACCCACTAGAAAAATGTATAAGAAAATAGAAAAATTATTTACTTTTATTGATCATGCCAGTCTTCTTTTTTGAGCTGTGTTGAAGATGTCCTTCACTTTACCATTAGCCACAATCATGTTTATGGTTATGTGTATGGTGCATGTTCATATTGTATCTCATTTCTCTGTCTGCGTTAAAGCCACCGTAGCACTGCATTGTTGATGTTTCAATAGATGTATGTAATGAAGATGCTTCACATCTTCAATATTGGGATTGTAAAAAGAAAAAGAATGATACTGGAAGATGATTGTATCTTTCTCATAGGTGCGATGGCTAAAACTCTGTGCCTGATGCAGTTGTTCTCTCTTTGTGTTTCATGAATGTCTCCTTTGGACACCTGTAGAAAACACACTGGTATATGTTCTCCACCATGTTTCCTGAGGTCTGCTTCTACTTTATTATGCATGTGAATGAGCAGAACTCTGTAAATAGAGCTTTACATGTGTGTTTCTGTTCGTGCATGATCGTTTAAAACAGTACATTCTGCACAGATCGTGTCAGGGCTACTGAGGGGGCGGCTGAAATCAATACATGTCTGCCAGCTCTCCGTTCTCCCCTGAGACCCCTGACTAAAGCCATATTTGTCTGCACAGGTGTACTGAAGAGAATAAAGGTGCATACATTGAAATTATAAAGGTATAATTATAATATTACTAGTCCAACCCCTTTTTCTCACTCAAATGTTGATCCATGTGCGGTTGGAGTGAGTGGATAGTTTATTCTGGTACAATGGCGACACCTGGTGGTTGAAGTGTTTAATTCATTCACTGTGTTTGTCCTCATACTGTCCTTTCTGATCCAGAATGTAACATTAGCTTGTAGCATTCAACAAAAAATCTGGATGGGTTGATAAAATGAAATGTACTATGTGTTTAGATTATTTTGATCTCCACAATTATGTGGTGAATGTGAAAAATTAAACAATATATTTTGGGGTTGGTAGGTTGGGTGGGATTTTAGAAATTAAGGAATGTTGTACCAAACAATGTTAATATAATACATACACAGCCAGTTATTTCAGTTTATTTAAAGACAATATTGTAAAATGGCCTTTTTAATAATTAGGACAATAATGTTGTGAACAAAATATCCCATGAAATCAAACTGAACTGGTTCTGTATTTAAAGTGGATTGTATTTCAAATTAAGACTTTAGGGTTTAGAAAACAAGGGTGATATGGTGGTACAGTACATTAAAATGAACTGTAAAAAAATGTAAATAACCATATTTACAGTTATTCACTTAATGATAGATCTGTACACTTTGCATGCAGAATATTTAGCTATGTAGTTGAGACTAGCTTGTTGCAAGCTGCCCATAGATGATTTTAATATACATATTCAAATATGTACAGGACAAATGCATAGAGTTTATGCAATAAAGCATTTTTGTAATATTTATGGCATCTTTTCTGTTTCCTGAGAAAAACATACAGTAAGACATATTACACTGCTAATCCGTTATTGATGAGGTGTATTAATCACACAGTTTAATACTGTTTTGTTGCTCTGTTTATCATTGAGAAAAATGCTCTGGTTACTTTCGTAATCTCAGTTCCCGGAGATAAGATAAGAGCATTGCGTTGTACGCTTATGGAGTAAACTCATGTTTACTCTGATACTGAAGCCTGATGTGTTCACATTCATGTAGCTGCATGAACAAATGGCGCTTCAACCTGCCAAAAGGGGTGGAGCTGACTGCTATATAAGTCGTCTCAGAGCGTCATTCCTCAGAATCTTTCGATTGATAGCGACAGTCATCAACTCGCGTGCAGCCTTATAGCCAGCGTATGCTTCGCTCATTCCCTTACCTCAGGGAACCGAAGTTACAAAAGTAACCGGAGCATTCCCTCTCGAACGGTCCGGTCCACTTCTGGCCAGTGCAGGAACGCAGGATCAGAGCATAGCCGAAGTAGACATTAGCCGGCACTACATCGAGACAGCGTCCTGTAGCTCGGTTGATGATTGCTTCATTCTTCAGGGAACAAAAATAAAAATAATAATTTTAGTGAACTAAGGCAAAAGGACAATTTTTACAAAATGCTCTATATAAAAAGTGATCCAATCACCTGTGCAAAGTGCCAAGTTTTCTGGGGTATGCTAGAGACTTTCTCACAATTCAGGAGCTGTGGGTAGCTGCTGATTTTATCGTCCACCACACACCGAGTATCTTCGCCAGTGCTTCCCAGAGGACCCAGGAAAAGATAACCCTCCTTAGTGTAGCGACCCAGCTACAAAATAGACCACAGAGGGGATAATGTGAATGTATTTAATTCAGTGATTTGGTAACTGGGTCACTGAGTCATTCAGGGGCATTTTGGCACCCTAAGCTGATGATGTTTGCCAGATAGTTTTTGGCAGTAATGGCTACTTATATAATGACTATTAATTTATTATAATTATTAGCTGGGTCAAGCTCCAGTGCAGGTATGTAAACTGGTCGAGTCTAGACCTAGAAGTTATGGTCTCCAGGTTGAATTCAAAACTAGAAAATAGAATTTCTTTCTTATTTTGCGCCATCTTGTCATTTCATTGCTTGGTTGCAACTGATGAACAGAATGCGGAGAACTGTGTCATGAAGAGACTCCCTCTAGACATAACCTATTTCCTGTGTGCAGAGTAAGTAGAGGTTTAGTGGAGGTTAGGTCTGTGGAGATGTATAGCTGTGAGGAGTGCCGCTCTACCTGAGGGCCCCAGCCATGGCAGGGGTGCAGAGTTGCTGTGTGGTTTTCCTTTATGCCCTGGTCCAAACACAGATGGGTCACATTGGTATTGCGAATCTAGAACATAATAAAAAGAGTTAAAGAGCTGATAGTTTGGCCTGCTTTTTGTTGTTTAATAAGTGATCTTAATATGTAACCTGTTTTGCTAAAAGCTTTTTTTTTGCACAAAAATTAAAATTCTGTCATCATTTACACACCCTCACAATATATCACTTTCTTTGTGTATTATGAATATTGTTGACTCCTTGACAGATTGGCTTCGTTCCTCTTTTGTTTTTGTTTTGGATAAAAGCATCTGCTAAATGCATAAATGTAAATGCTTCTTCTGTGAAATACAAATTGGGAGGAATGTTTTCAGTGTTCTTTTCAATACAATGTGATGGTTAAATAATACAAAGTGAATGGTAAAATACTGGAGCTGTTACCCAAAATGATAAAAAGGCATCCTAAAAGTCTCACAAAGGTGGGTCATATGACTTCTGATGCCATACAATAGCTTTGTGTGAAGAACAGATTGAAATGTGTTGACTCTTAACACCATAGGTTTTGGTGTCACAATGGTCACTAAAATGAAATCATTGCATGACTTGACAATATTTTTGAATGAACGCATACAAAACTTGAGAGCTGCAGTAAGATGATTGTTAAGATTTTAGCCAAATAATGACTTTAAATTTGGTTGACTCCTCACACTATACTATTGGTTTCAGAAGACTTTCAGAAAAGAGTCATACCGACCACTTATGTGACACTTTTACAGTGATTTTTGTCACTTTTTGGAGCTTGACAGCCCTAGTCCTCATTCACTAGTGTGCAGGACCTTTTTCAAAATTTGTTTTTGTTTCATGGAAGAAAGTCAGACAGGTTTGGAATGACATGAGGGTGAGTCAATGATTTTTGGGTGAACTAACCATTTGACAATAATTAACCGAATAATGTTCTTCTTAAAAAAAACTTCTATTTAAGTGGCAAGAGTGTTAATCAGAGACCCAGTGTTAATGTGCCGGTCACATTAGTGAAATTTTGAAGTCACTTTCAAACCAAGCAGCTTTCTGCTGGTCGACACGGCGAATCCATCTGACCAACTTGAACCGGTTGTGAAATCTGTGAGGGGGAATCTGTGACCGCACCTTTAGTCATTTCATGTGGCACTCACCTCTCCATAAAAGAGAGTGTTGTTGTATCTCCTCATCTCTGGATAGATATTATCAAGGTACCACTCAAAGCTTTTGCACTGGAGTCTTTTCCTGAGCGC